TAATAAATTCAGGGTGGTTTTGTTTTGTTTTGTTTTGTTTTTTAAAGGGCAAAACTTATTTCCCGAAGAGTACATTAGGCTCCAGGGCTGGGAGGAGGTTCCTGAACAGATCCCAAGGTTATCTATGCATTAAGGAGACAAAGCTCAGAACATGGAGAAGTAACGTCATAGAATTCTCAACCCAGAGCGCCAGGGAGGAGAGGGCATCATTGAGAAGAGCTCCTATATCTGTAGAAAGCTCTGCTTCAGTCTCAGCTGGCTACTGAACTGTGCATCATGTGAGGAGATTACCACGGCTGTAGAAAGAGCCATCAAAAGGAGTAGGCAGAACAATCCCTTGGTTTCATACAAGGCTACAAAGGTTTTGCTAATACTATTCAGAAGGAAAAGACCTATTGACACAAAGTGACAAAGAGCATATACAGAATCTTATGGCCTTGGTAGCAGAAGTAAATTAGGCTATTCTGGTCACATCTACAGATTTTTAAGATTAGGTCTTAAAAGCATCAAACTGACTCCAAATAATGGCATCCCAGCACAAAGGCTTAAAAAAAAAATCTCTAAAACAAGGTAAAATTTATAATATCTTATTCCCATAAAAATTACGAAGCATAGCCTGGCCAGTGTTGCTTAGTGGTTAAATGCCAACCCTTGAACCAAGAGGTCATGGCCTACTTGCTCAGGTTGCAGGCTCAATCCCCGGTGGGGATGTGCAGGAGGCTACCAATCGGTGTTTCTCTCTCATCAATGTTTTTATCTCTCTATCCCTATCCCTTCCTCTCTCTCTAAAATCAGTAGAAACATATTTTTAAAAAATATTAGGCATACAAAGAAGTGAGAAAATATGACCCATAATTAGGGTAAGGGGAAAACAATCAATAGAAATTGTTCCAAAAATGACATGGTAATATGTAGACAAGGACATTAAAATATATCAGAGGAAAGTATAAGCATGATAAAGAAAACTAAGAAGATATAAAAAAGACCCACATTGAACTTCCAAAAGTGAAAAATACATGATGTCTGGATAAAGGAAAACATTAGATGGAATCAACAGCAGATTAATGAGCTGGAATACATAGCAATAGAAAAATTCTAATGTGAAATAAAGAGAAAAACCAAAACTGGAAGTAAAATTAATAGATTGATAACCTACTAATGATTAAACTTATTATTACACTAATAAATATATATAATTAGAGTATCAGAAGGAGATTGTGCACAGAAAATTTTAAATAAGAGCTAAATTTTCCACCCAAAATTTGTTCAAAACTATAAATCCCTTTATCCTAGAAGCTGAGAAAGCCCCTGATAGAGGTGGAAAAGAGGCAGGAAGTAGACTAGATGAAAATGGAAATGAATTTGATTAAAGCCAATGACAAAGAGAAAAATGCAAAAAGCAGATGGAGAAAAAAAGACATATTACATTTAGTGAAGAAACTGATAATAAACACAGGAAATGTCGTGTCAGGGGGGGGAATGCGAGAAAGAAGACAGAAGAGAAATATTTTTAAAGTACTGAAAGAAAAAACAAACTGTCAACTTAGAAAACCAATAAGAACAACTCTTAAAAATAAAGACAAAATAAATATTTTCTTCAGACGAAGGCTGAAATAAGTTACCACCAGCAGACTAACACTTCAAAAATATTAAAGGAAATCTTCTGGTAAAAAGTAAATGTTACCAGTTAGAAATCTGGATTTTTTAAAAAGACTTTTTTCTTATTTTAAAGATACTTTGCTAAATATATCGAGATATATATATATATTTAACAGTGTACTCTGACTTTTATAACATGTTGAAGTAGCACAGAGGCTTAGGAAATAGAAGACAGTAGTTTCCCTCCCCTCTGCACCCCACCCTAACCTACAGGCAATACGTTCAAATACTCCCAGAGGATGCCTGAAATTGTGGATAGTAATATACTTTTACAACCCCACATATACTTTTGTTCCTATATATACCTACCTATGCTAAATTTAATTTATAAGTTAGGCATAGAGAGAGAGTAAAAACAATAAGAAAATAGAATAATTATCTATATATATAAAAGCCTAAGCAACCAGATGACTTGACGGTAGCTATGATGCACACTGACCACCAGGGGGCAGACACTCAATGCAGGAGTTGCCCCCTTGTGGTCAGTGTGCTCCCACAGCAGAAGTGCCACTCAGCTGTCAGGCCACAGATGTGACAGATGCTGACCTGATGGCTGGCGAGCACAGCTGTGGCAATGCGAGCCTCTCCCACCCTGCACACTTGAGCAGTGGTGGCAGCAACCGCAGTGACGGCCAAGATGAATGGGAGCTGCAAGGCGCCCAGCCTGGGCGCAAGCTCCTTCCCGGCCTGTCACTTGGTGCACTACTTTGTGCTGTGCAGGATCGACACAGACAGTGGGCTGGAACCCAATGAGCTGGCGGGAAAGGCCGGGCTGTGGCAGCACGGAGGTCGACTGATCCCCACAGGCCAGGCTGAGGGACCCAGGATTCGTGCAGCAGGCCTCTAGTTAACAATATATTGTAATAAAAATTATGTGACTATGGTCTCTCTCTTTCAAAATATCTTATGAAAAGATATTGTACTCAGCTTTTCACTTAAGGAGAGCAGTGTACGGTTTCTCTTTGGCATATCCGAATTACCAGCATCACTGCACATGTGTTTTGTAAAGGAAGGGTGACTTGAACACAAGCACTGAGATACCACACAGTCAATCTGATAGCAAAATGACTGCCAAGTGACTAATGGGTGGGTAGGCCGACGCATATAGCTAGAGATGCTGGACAAAGAGATGACTCACCGTTCAGGTGGGACTGAGTAGGCTGGTGTAAGATTTCATCACACTACGCAGAATGGCATGAGATTTAAAACTCATAAATGATTTATTTTTTAAGTTTTCCATTGAATGTGTTTGGACCACTATTGACCACAGGTAACAGAAACTGACTATGGAAACCAAAACTGTGGATAAGGAGAGATTACTGCATATGGTTATTAGGTTCTTATATATGGAGTGGTATAATATTACTTGAATCCAGACTGCAGTGAGTTATTAGCACACCATAAACTTTAAAGCAAGCAGTCACTAAATTAAAGCCAATTAAATTAAAATCTGTACCAGAGAGATGCCTACAAAATCCCTAAATATCTAGAAACGAAGCAATATATTTCTAAATGACATATGAGTCAAAGAATAAAATATATGGGAAATTAGAAAGTATTTCAAACAAAATGAAAGTTAAGAGATGACATTAAAATGTGTGTGATGCAGCTATAAAGCATTGCTTACAGAAATATAGTATTGAACACTTATATTAGAAAAAAAAAATGATCAGCAGTGACAGAGATCAGTGGGTGCCTTGAAACAAAGAGGAGGCGTGAAGGAATACGAGGAAATTTGGGGAGTGATGGATATGTACTAGGTGTACCGGTTAATAATGACGGTTTTATAATTAAAGAAATCACGATAATTTCAAGAGAAACATCAAAAGTGCTTTATTCAAAGTAACATCCATCGCTAGTGACACATTTCCCCCATCTTTCAGGTAATTTGTGGATACCATCTCAATAGAACTTTTCTTGTTTTGAGGCAAACCATTCAGAAACCCAATTTTCCTCTTTGTACATTTTGAAGTACTGATCAGAAAGTGCGTGTGCCATTGATCAATGGTAATCTGAAAGAGAAAGTCTGGTGAATATAGCGGGTGCATGAATACTTCCCAGGCAAGATCTTTTAACGTATCTTTAACTGGTTTTGAAGTGTGTAATGGTGCATTATTATGAAGCAAAATTACTTTGTCGTGTCTTCAGGCACATTCTGGTCGTTTCACGATCAAAGCATAATTCAAATTGATTGTTGTTGATAGCGATCAGTATTAATGGTTTCACCTGATTTAGATGCTCATAATATACAATACCTTCCTGATCCCACCAAACGCAGATCATTGTCTTCTTTTCAAAGCGATTTGGCCTTGCAGTCAATGTTGATGGTTGACCTGGATCAACCCATGATTTTGTGCATTTGAGATTCTCAAAATAAATCCACTTTTCATCACTAGTCACAATTTGATGCAAAAAAGACTTTCTTGCATGCCATTGAGGCAATATTTTAACGATGACTTTTTGGTTTTCCATCTGTCTTTCTTTCAGTTGACATGGCACCCATTTTTCTTCCTTTAAAATCTTTCCCATTGCTTGTAAAGATCAGAAATTGTTTGCTGAGCAACATTTAATCTTTTTGCAAGTTGTTTTTGAGTTTGACATGCATCTTCATCCAAAAATGCTTGTAATTGTTGGTCTTCAAACTTTTTTGGTTGATCTAGAAGTTCTTTCTTTGTCTTTCACATTGAAATTATCACTTTTAAAGTGTTTAAACCAGTGTTCGCAAGTGTCTTGAGATGGAACATGTTCACCATAAGCTTTCCAAAGTATTCAGCAGCACTTTCCTTCAAAATAAACTAATTAATTAAAACTTCCCGCCAATGCTTTTTGGCATCAAATTCAACATTTTTAAGCATAAAAAATATCTAAGATGTTAATTCCTTCAGCATATTTGACATATGAAGTTTTGAAGCTTGCTGTCAATACAACAAAAGAGCATACATATCAAATCATATATATATCAACATATGTGTAACCATCTATTGAAAAAAATCCACATTATTAACTGGTACACCTACTACATTATTTTGATGGTGGCATGGTTTCATGTATTATTATGTCAAAACTTATCAAATTGTGCTCTTTAAATATATTCTGCTTAATTTCAGTTATACCTCAACACTCTCAAATAAAAACTTTACCATGTCAAGATATTTGCTTTATTGTGTACGATCCTGTTGTGTTTGGATATTAAGTAGGCAACATTTCTAAAAGTTCTAAATATCACAGTGTCTTTTTGACCTATTCACTGCACAGGTCTTGTACTTTCTTATCAAATGTATGCCCAAGAATTTAAAAGGCCTAAGTACCTCCCCACTCACACACATACTTGTCTTTTTCAGATTGAATATGAACACCGAGCGCCAGAGTGCCGCCTGGGTCTGAAGGAAGGCCGTCCGTTCTCAGGGGTCACTGCGTGCTTGGACTTCTGTGCCCACGCCCATAGAGACTTGCACAACATGCACAACGGCAGCACCTTGGTAAGTGCGGCCGAGGACTGGCATGGAGGAGCAGAGGGCTGGCAGGTAGCAGCGTTTGGGGAGAGGAACACACTCTCTGCAGGTGTCACACAGCACAGCAGCGTTTTCATGAATGAACTGTTGTTGCATAACTGTTTGGCACAACTAGCACTCTCATAACAGGTTGGCACACCAGGGGAAACTGTGTTGACAAGCACATGGAAATCATGGAAATTCTTGGTGCTAATCTAAACCAGTGTCTATGAGTTGCCAGCTCTTAGCAGGTGGCTGCCAAAAAAAATCTTTAAAAATTACATGTCAGCTATCTGGTAGGTTATGGCCAGTTAAGCAGCAAACCAAAGTATCAGTCACCTTGCAGAGAAGTACTAATAATGGAAGCACGTCGTCACTGCCGCAGTAACTACTATAGAAGATTCAAAGTGAAAAAGAGCCCACGGAACTACATATTCAGTGGGTGGAGTGCACGGGGCCTTGTAATTGGAGGCTATGGGACAGGGGGAAGTGAATACAGTCTTAGGGTAGGGCAACCTTCCACTCTAACAAAGTCCGGGAAAAGGGGTTGCCTGGCAAGAGATGATCCGAGCTGGAGATAGGAATGAGAAAGTTCAAGTGAAGAAACTGCATTCATCAACCTAATAAGTCATCAACATGAATATAGTTATAATTAAGGAAGATGACCAGTTAATGGGAAAACAAAAGACAGGCACCAAAGTTATAGTGTAGCATAGAAAAGAATTCAGGGAGATAGTAGCAACAGTGGAAAATAAAGAATATTATAACCGGATGAACAAAAAGATAGATATAGAGGCAGTAAAGCATCAAACAGACTGTTAAATTACAGCAGGAAGGCTGCGGAGTGTTGAGGAGGAGGGGGAAGAGATCAATGGAAGGACTTGTGTGCATGCATATAAGCACAACCAATGGACACAAGACGCTGGGGGGAGGGGGATGAGGGCATGTGCCAGGGGTTGGGGGAGGCTGGGGGAAGGTCAATGGGGAGAAGAAAAAAAAAGGGAGATATATGTACTGCTACGTGTAATACTTTAAACAATTAAAAAAAAAAGAATTTGAGAAAACTGGTACAAAGCTTTTGTTGAGAAGCAGAGAAAGTCTGGGGCAGGAGATGAAAAACTTTAAAAGGCAAAATAGTATATATTTTAGGCTTTGTAGGCCATATAGGATTTTCATAGAGCATATTCTTTGGATATTATATATATATATATCTTAGAAGCCCAGTACACAAAATTCATGCACAGGGGGAGGGGGGAGAGGAGAGAAGGGATGAAGGAAGGGGGTCCCCTCAGCCCTGCCTGCACCCTCTCCAATCCAGGACCCCTTGGAGGATGTCCCACTGCAGGTTTAGGCCCACTCTCTGGTGGGACCGGGCCTGACTCAACAGTCGGCTATCCCTCTCGCAGTCCAGGACTCTGGTCCTTAACCACTCACCTGCCTGCCTGCCAGCCTGATCACCCCTAACTACTCTCCCCTGCTGACCTAATTGCCCCTAATTGCTCTCCTCTGCTGGCCTGATCGCCCCTAACCACCTCTGCCTAAGCCCCTGCCACTATGGCTTTGTCTGGAAGGACATCTAGAAGGATGTCCAGAAGACATCCAGTCTAATTAGCATATTATACACACACACACGCACACACACACACACACACACACACACACACAGTTGTTCTGGACTGAAACAGGCTGTTTGTCCTACTTTCCTGCCAGGTATGCACCCTCACAAGAGAAGACAATCGAGAAATCAGAGGCAAGCCTGAGGATGAGCAGCTCCATGTGCTGCCGCTCTACAAAGTGTCCGATGTGGATGAGTTTGGAAGTGCAGAAGCTCAGGAGGAGAAGAAACGAAATGGTGCTATTCAGGTGCTAAGTTCTTTTCGGCGGAAAGTCCGGATGTTGGCAGAGCCAGTGAAGACGTGCCGACAGAGGAAACTAGAAGCCAAGAAAGCTGCGGCCGAAAAGCTTTTTTCTCTGGAGAACAGCGCACACAAGAATGAAAAGGATAAGCCAGCCCCATCCCGCATAAAGCAGACGGAAGGTGCAGCCCAGGCTAAACACTTGGCAGGTAAATTGAACGTGAGCCTTGTAGATATATGTGTTGTATGATACTGAAAATGAGCGTTGTTCCTTTTGGAAGGTCACATTTAGTCATGGTCTTAGTCCTGTACCAGAATCTTCTCTAAAGTCGAAACGGCCAGGCTTTGCTCTTGGAGATGGTACTGAGCTATTGCACCATCAGCCCCAGCTTGATGGGGAACTTCGGGTTTTATTCTATAATAAATGGCAGAATCTCCTGATAGGTAAGTGATATGGTCGAATCAGTGTCAGTGTAACAGTGGCAGGTAGGTCACATTAGAGCTGAAGGAGCTAACAGTTTGGAGACAGAAGCAATAAACCAAGAGTGAGGTAATAAGAGCTTGAATTTTGGTGGTAATGAAGATGTAGCAAAAACGACCAAAGTGAATTCTTCCGAAATTAATATCAATATACTGCTGGCAAAATATTGGGATAAGAAGAAGACAAATTTAAGGATGACTCCAAAGTTTTAAGTTTGGATAACTTAAGCAGTACAATTTATTGAAATAAGTTTGGGAACAAGCTTGAGGGGCCATGGAAGGAGAATAAGATGCCTTTCCTTAGCCATATTACATTTGAGGTGTAGGAGGTGGGTCACATGTAGTTCTTATAAAGCTTTTACCCATCCCATGGATCACATCTATAGCAGTACCAATAGAACGTGAATTGCCAATACTTAGTTGATATTTCCTGTCCATAGCCCCTTGCTTTATGTCAGCAGTTACTAGTGTAAAGAATCATACAATGTAATGTCTATACTCAAATTATAGGCCTGACCATTAACAAGAGAAAAGTATATATCCTTTAAGTTTAGTGAACCAGTTTGCTTAGAAAGTCAAATCTTCCTGTTGATTCACTTTGAAGCCCAAAGAAACTACATAACTTAGAATAAATGCGCCAAAGATGCTTAATAAGTATTTGCTGACTGATTGACTCACTACAAGAAATTAATCCTATTCAGCCCATGATATCTCCTTTAGGTTAGCTGTAAAGTGTAAGCGTGTACAACCTGGCCTCTCTTTCCTTCTTACCAGCTTTTGTAACGATAATTTCAGTGGTCAGAGCTGTCAGTGCAGCTCCATTTATTCTGATCTCAGGTAACGCTCTTTTTTTAAAATTTTTTTTTAATTTTATTTTATTGATTTTTTACAGAGAGGAAGGGAGAGAGATAGAGAGTCAGAAACATCCGTGAGAGAGAAACATCGACCAGCTGCCTCCTGCACACCCCTCACTGTGAATGTGCCCGCAACCAAGGTACATGCCCTAGCCCGGAATCGAACCCAGGACCTTTCAGTCCGCAGACCGACGCTCTACCACTGAGCCAAACCGGTTTCGGCTCAGGTAACGCTCTTAAGTGAAGGTCGTGAAACAATAGTATGACTTTGTAAAGTGTCCCTTGCAAAGCTGAAAGTTTCATTCAAGTTTTATCTACAACTCTAACTTTCCTTTCTCAAAAGCATGCTAATGAAATGGGTTCGTGTGCTATAGAAGATGCTCTGGGTGTTTAAATGAATGTCATTTTTCTTCTCGGTGCATTGCTGAATCTTTTCATGACAAATTTTATGCTATGTAATTTTAACTATTTAACCAAGTTGATTGCATGCTAGGCAGTGGAGAAATCAAGGAAAAAAAGGCATGGTCCCTTTCCACACGAGGAATTCCTTGTTAGGAGGTTAAAGAGGGGACTAACCATGGATAATTACAATACATTGTGACTGTTGCTTCATGTGACTGATGTTTGTGGCGGGCAATGCAGAAGCCCTGGAAGATGAGGTCATAGAAGGCTTGCTCAAGGAAGGGATGACTGTGCCAAGGGAGGGCAGGGAGCGGGGTGGAGGGCGGAGGGCACTTCATGCAGAGAGTTTGGCCTGATCAGAAGCAGAGGCTCCAGAGAATGTGATGCGCTCCGTGGAATGTCTTTTGGATGTTCACTCCCTCTACCTTCACTCACCAGACTGTCCTTTTATGAGGTCTGTCATTTTATTTCTGATGCTTTAGACACACACAAAAAATTATGGCAGACAGTCATCAGCACCCTGACTCTGCTCTTACCTTGTTGGATGGGTGTTGCATAATCCTGGTGGTGGTTCTCCCATGCATTTAAGCCTCCTCACTAGCTTTCACAAAATAATCATCACGCATGCTTGTTCCTGCTCTTTTCTTACCTTGTCCACAAAACTTCTGTGACTTTCAGGACCAGTCATGCAGCTGTCCCAGCAGCCCCAGCCCCCGCCCCAGCCCCAGCAACCACAGAAGCAGCCTCCACAGCCACAGAAGCAGCCGCCGCAGCCGCAGCCGCAGCCGCAGCCGCAGCCGCCCCAGCAGCCCCAGCAGCAGCCACCACATCACCCCTTGACGAATAACCATCACTCAGAGACTGTCAACGCTTACTACCCTTCAGGACCCACCAACCTGTACATGAGACGGCCCAATCCAGTCAGTCCTTACTCCAGCTCCTCACACAATTCGGATATTTATGGGGGAGGTGTCAACTGTGTGAACTCCACCGCCTCCCAGACCGCGGGCTCCTATCTGAGTTCTTCGAATCTCATGGGCCCCTACCCTGGGCTCCTCAACCAGAACAGCCAGTACCCATCCTACCAGTGCAACGGGAACGTGTCCATGGACAGCTGCTCCTCCTACCTGGGCTCTTACTCCCCCCAGTCCCAGCCCATGGACCTCTACAGGTACCCCAACCAAGACCCTCTCTCCAAGCTGAACCTCCCGCCCATCCACACCCTGTACCAGCCCAGGTTCGGGAATAGCCCGAGCTTTACTTCCAAACCTCTGGGTTACGGAAACCAGAACATGCAGGGGGACACCTTCGGCGGCGGCGGCGGCGGCTGCGCCCCGAGGCAACCGAGCGCGCGCCACGTGGGGACCCTGCCTCCGTACTCCACCACGCATGAGATGGATGGCCTCTTCCTGGGGGCCGCCGCCAGGCTCCCCCCCAACCTGAGCAGCCACCCCAACGTAGACTACAAACACGGCGAGCATCCGCCACCTTCTCATCTGCTCCCTGCCTATGGGGCGGCCCCGGGCAGCATGTTCACCAGCTCCCTGCACGCCCTGCACCTGCAGAACAAGGAGAACGACCTGCTCCCCCACAGCGCTCACGGGCTCCCCAAGATGATGCTTCCGGTGCAGGTGCATCCGGGCCTGAGCCACGACCGGACCCCCGCCGCCCAGCAGAGCTTGCACAGGCTGCAGGAGGAGAAGCCGCCCCCCGGGGCTGCGGAGGACAACAACGACGAGGTGTGGTCGGACAGCGAGCAGAGCTTCCTGGACCCGGACATCGGCGGCGTGGCCGTGGCGCCGGCGCACGGCTCCATCCTCATCGAGTGCGCCAAGCGCGAGCTGCACGCCACCACCCCTTTGAAGAACCCCAACCGCAACCACCCCACCCGCATCTCGCTCGTCTTCTACCAGCACAAGAGCATGAACGAGCCCAAGCACGGCCTGGCGCTCTGGGAGGCCAAGATGGCCGAGAAGGCCCGGGAGAAGGAGGAGGAGAGCGAGCGGCACGGCCCGGACCACGTGCCGCAGAAGGCGCACGGCAAGAAGGGCCGGCGCGAGCCCGCCGCCGAGCCGCACGAGCCCGCCGCCGAGCCCACCTACCTGCGCTTCATCAGGTCCCTGGCCGAGCGGACCCTGTCGCTGACCACCGACTCCACCGTCACCACCTCCCCGTATGCCTTCACCCGGGTCACAGGGCCTTACAACAGATACATGTGATGTCGCCCCTTCCCCTCCCCTCCTATCCCCTCCCCTCTCCTCCTTTCCCCTCCTCTCCTCTGTCCTCCCCTCCCAGGGGCTGGTTACCTCATGTGAAAAGACCACAGCCAGCCTGCCCGCACGGGATGGTCGCCCTCATGAGACCTGGGCCCTGGGGGAAGAAAGGACACAGGAGTCATGGCCCACGTGGTAGGAAGAACCTCAGCTCACCAGCAAACAGAAAGAGAGGTCCCCTGACCATAGCACTTAATTTCCATCGACTCCTCTAAGTGATCACAGATGGCACATCCTTGCAAAAAAAAAAAAAAAAAAAAAGACCAAAGCATTCTATGCAACATGAAGGAGGTGGGGGAGAGAGGGTTCCACAATTTACATGTTTTAAACACTGGTTCTGGTATTGGGCGAGAGGATGTGTAAATGTGACTTTCCCCCACCTGACAGCTCGACACATCTGTGACCACTTTCTTTTTAGGTGATACCCAGTTTGCATAGTCCTGGACACAAATCAAGCGAGTACTGTAGTATTTACAGTGGCAGGATTCTCAAATTCCATCTGGTGCTGAACATACGATGTGTTGGAATACTGGAATTATGGCTTGTTTTTTTAACATGCAGTTTTTACTGTAATCTTAATATTAACTTTTATTTATCAAATAGCTACAGGAAGCATAAATGAATAGACAGCAAAACACTGAATTTGTTTGGATGTTCTAAGAAATGGTGCTAAGAAAATGGTGTCTTTAACAGTTGAAAATTTAATGCCTTTAATATCATCAAGATCAGTGAACTCCAGTGCCCTTGAATAATAGGGGTACCTTTTCATTCAAGTTTTTATTATAATTACCTATTCTTACACAAGCTGTTTTTAAAAAGTGGACATTTTAAAGGCCTCTGGATTTTGCTCATCCAGTGAAGTCCTTGTAGGACAATAAACTTATATATGTACATATATATGTATACATATATATATACACACATGTATATGTGCACACACATGTATATGTATAAATATCTTCAATGGTGTCTTAGAAGCACTTTGCCTACCTAAGCTTTGACAACTTGAACAATGCTAAGGTACTGAGACGTTTAAAAAAAAAAAAAAGTTTACTTTCATTTTAGAATGCAAAGTTGATTTTTTTAAGAAAGCTTTTAAAATATTTTTGCTTTTCGCCATGCATCTGCTGATGAGCAACGTGTCCATTTTTCATACAGCCGGTTAAATCCAAAAGGGGGCTTACTGGATTCAGAAGAATACATTAGTCCATAACACATGTTTTCTGGTGCTCATCTCATGCTATACTGTAACAGTTTTATACCAAGTTGTATGACAAGTTCCTTGGTCAAATATGTCCTTTTCAGAGTTTGGTTTTTTTTAATCAACTTCAGTAATGATTGACTCCACACCACAGGCTCAAACCATGCCGTTCACTTACGCAAAGTGGCTTTATGGCTCTTTATGCTCTTCAGCAGTTGAATGTCAGTCTGCCTTTGTGTTGATCATTGTGTGTTGTGATGTTGTCACTTCTTGGCTCAAGTGTCCTCTTTACCAGGAAGACCGACCGAGCAGACTGATGCCTGCATAAGATGAATAAACAGGGTTAGTTCCATGTGAATCTGTTAATTAAAGGAAAAGAAAAAAAGAAACAGGCAGCTGGCTTGCTGTGGTGGTTTTAAATCATTAATTTGTATAAAGAAGTGAAAGAGATGTATAGTAAGTAAATTAATTGTAAACAAAACTTTTTTAACGCAATGCTTTAGTATTTTAGTACTGTAAAAAATTAAATATATACATATATATATATATGGATTTGAAGTAGAATTCACATCATGATGGTGCTTCTCAGCCTGCTACAAATATATCATAATGTGAGTTAAGAATTCAGTTAAGGGTTGAGTGGTGTTCCTACTGTCATATACCTCAACACTAGTTTGGCAATAGGATATTGAACTGAGAGTGAAAGCTTATAGCATCATGTACCATCATTTTTTTCCAAGTCTTTTTTATGATTAAAACGCATACCTTTATGTTCAATACTTGATTTCTTAGCAAGTATAACTTGAACGTCAACCTTTTTGTTCTAAGAATCAGGGATATTTCAGCTCATGTTCTCCTTATGCCAACATGTCACCTGTGTTTATGTAAAATTGTAGGTTAATAAACATATTCTTTTTCAGGGATTTAAACCTTTTCCTTTGAATCCCTCCTAATTTGCTTGTATATGTCCTCATGCAACTAAAACTAATTGTGTATATCTGTTGAACCCTTTTATTGTAAAGAAAAGCATTTTTAAAAGTTTGGGGAATATTTTGACTGTTTTGAGCAGGAAAAAAATTACATGGAAATAGAATGCACTGAGTTGATAAAGGGAAAATTATAAGGCAGGAGTTTGGCAAGTGGCTGCTGGCTAGAGTCTTTCAACTCTCTAAATAAAGATGTTTTGATCCTGTAATCAGTATAGGTACAGATCCATAAGGACACCCCCAAACTGGCAGGACAATTAGTGGTATGGTGTGCAATCCACTGTACAAGTACATTTTGGTCTAAGTACACTTTTGCTTAAACTAAAATTTCAGATTCTTAATCAAGGGAGCCTTTGAGGTTTCTTGGTCAAATCTTACTTTATAACATGGGTTTTTGTCTTTTTAAAAACTTTCCTTTTGGGCTGTGACCAATTTACAAATAATTCAAAAACATTTGCTTTGCAAATGTCAAACCACGTGATTTTAATATTTTACATGAAATATATAATTAAATTTATATATAATGCCAAATATTTGGTTACTGCATGCATATTTGTTGGATTTGAGTCATCCATCCCTTTTTGAATATTTGGTTTCTATATCATCCACTGTCACTTGTCAAACTGCTAGCCAGCAAGAGCAGGAAATATAGTTTGGGGGGCTCAGGAGAGGTTAGGTAGGGAGGAGAAGATAAAATTGAATGGCATATTGTAAATACCAGATCTATAATTGTAAATATAAAACCTCCCTCAGAATGAATGGCAAGCAGATCTGCAGTTTGCTGATATAGGAATATCAGGTTGACTATATAGCCATACTTGAAAATGCTTCTGAGTGGTGTCAACTTTACTTGAATGAATTTTTCATCTTGATTGACACACAGTGGTGTACAGTTCACTTCTCAAGCTAGTGGTCAACTTGTGTAGGAACCTTTTGCAGTTGGACACTAAGATAATGAACTCTGTGTGCATTTTTTTCTATGCTTTTTTAAAAACTTAGTTCCATTTCATTTTCATGAAATGTCTGGGTGTCTATAAAATCTGAGGATGGCTGTAAATACTGTAAGTATTGTAATGTTATGAATGCAAGTTATTTGAAAGCGTTTATTATTATATCATTCCTGATAACGCTATGTGAGTGTTTTTAATAAAATTTATATTTATTTAATGCACTCTAAGCATTGTCTTGTTCAAGTTTCTGTTTACCACCTAAGGTAATGCCGTCTCAACGAGGCCAAAGGGAATGAAAGGAATTTGTTTTTTTAAAGGTAATTTTAGGTAGTCATTCTTAATGTTAAACTATATCTAGAGTAATATCCACATCATTAAGGGCAAAATATTTCTCTTTTTAAATAATTTAGGTATTAGCCTTTTTTTTTTTTTTTTCCAGTTTACTTGTTGGTGTATTCACCTTAGTTGAGTGGCTAGTGTAAGTCAGGAATAGAGTGATAGCATCTGCTAATCTTCATTAGACTGCCCATCCCTTCCTGTGTGTAGTGTGTAAGGGCCACCAGCAACAGGAGGTCCACTGGGGTTGAGTTCACATTTCTCTGGCCTAAGGCAACCCCGATGTTTAGATTCACATTTTCCTCTTTGTGTCCACTCTTCTCGAGGAAGATTCCTCTTCCTGCCCGTCCAAGAGGCAGGTTGTGTCGGACAAGAAGAGAGGGGCGAGATGGGCTGGCAGCACCACATACACACGCAGGTCCTCATCCATCCCATGTGGCTTCAGGGAGCCGGGGGCTAGGGTATCCTCATCTCTGCCCCTTCTTTGTCCCGTGACGTGACTCGGCTCTCAGGCAGCACCAGTGCACTCCGCTGAAGCACTTTCTAGAGACACAAGACATCCAACCCAGTAACTAGTGATAGTTATGTCCTTTCAGCTGCTCCCAGCCAGCATCCCTCCTCCCACCGCCGCCCAAACTGGCAGAGAGAGCATTTTCATCCCCTTTCCCATATTTCCCTCTGTTCAGCCTGGGCCAAATCTGATTTAAATAGTCATTCCCGAGCCCACCTTTGAGCTTGACTGGATGGTTCCTCTGGCAGTCTACTTAAAGCCGGCATAGTAAAAGCAGCAGCAATATCACTTAAAGGCAGTGATCCAAAGATCTTTTTCTTTTTTTAATTTCAGCCCTTTAGGGACATTGTCAACCCTCGTTTCACATCCATCCTCTGACTGAGCCTTGGGACCCTCCCACTCCTCATTTGCTAGTCTGCCATGCCCAGGGCGAAGGGAGCTCAAAGCTCTTCCTGTCAGGCCCAATGCAGAGCCCACTGGCTGAGGCAGGTGCTGCCAGCGCCCTGTTAATGAAGGTGCGGGCAGGCCCACCTCTGTGAGCCTGCAGGTGGACTTAGATGGGGGAGGCAGCTGGCAATGACAGATGAGCCATCATTCACCAAGTTCTATTGGCCCCTTGCCTCCTCTGGAAATACTTGCCAAGAGTGGACGTTTGCAGGCAGGCAGGCACACAGCTGCCCTGTCATACACAGTACCACTGCTCCTTCCTTCAGTCTCATACAATAACCGAGTCAATTTATCATAAAAATCCACCTGCTTTGGGTAATTCTAGCTTAGCTCTGACTCCTGCCTCACTCAGCTGTGTTGTACTTGAGGGAGTGTGAGAACCTGACTGAGGGAGAAAAGATGTTGGTTTTGCTGGTGTAAAGGCCACCTGGCTGTGAGTATCCAGTGTAAACGGAAGGCTGGAGAGTGCATCCATGGGAGGGAAGAGTGCTCACTGCACAAAGACAAGTGGTCAT